TGCTGAACTTGTCATTCCTCATGAACAGCAGGTCTGCATCCCTGCAGTGAGATACTAGCCTGTACTGCTGCTTGGGATTATTCTGTCCATGCATAACTTTACCTTTATCTTTCTTAAACCTCATGCAATTCCTGTTCCAATCTTCCAACCTGAGAACTATTAATGAACATTTAGCAGTAGGAGATATTCCTATTACAGGCAAACATGAGCTGCAGCCAGCTCCTGGAGGTAATCCACACTATAGATTTTGAGAACTTCCTATGATTTTCAGATACGTACTAAAGGTTCAGATGGTAATTCAGTACCTGTTCTGTTGCTTATCAGTATTACTCATACATAGATTCATCAGGGAGTAAGAAGGATAGCCCTCGGTGAAATACTAACGCATTGCCTCCTTTTTTCCTTTTGTTTGTAAAATCAAAGAGGGCATAAAACAACATTTGACAACCAGCACCCAGTAAGGATAGGAAAATATATAAATTTACATTCTGCAGAACTCACAAACAGATTTATGTGTGGGCCATGTGATGTGGGCTGGGCCAGCAGTCCTTCCTGCTTTGTGAGGCAGAGATCAAGATTCCTCTGCTACAGGGGAGAGAATATAATTTTGGGGGGAGAACCTAATTTGCAGGGCAGAGTTTCTCTCCCAAAGTAAAGCAGACCAAACAGATCAAACACAGGTAAGCTCTTCCCCACTGCTCACTCCGCCCTCTTTCTTAATGAGTTTCCTGCTTTTGTGGGACTGACCCAGAAGAGCTGCAAAAGTGTAGAAGGTACGTGACCGTCTAGAAATTGCTTTGGATTCAGAATCTGGACAAACAAGGTTCTAGTTTCCCACACAAAACTTGTGCAACAGGATCTTCCTTCCCATCATTTGGTACTTTCCCATATTCAATAGGTGCCGTCTTTCAGTTTCAAAAGAAATCTTCGTTGTCAGCCTAGAAGAAAACTCAAAACGAGGAAGGGGGAGTTTTTACTGGTGTCCTGTCTTCAGCTCAGAAGGGGAAGGAGCTTGAACAATTTTCCTTGTAATGAAGAGAGGAATTAAAACATGACTGTTCCTACCTACCGAAACATCTGGCTGGTAAGTAAGATTGACAGTAAAAAAAGTTAACAAGAAGTTAATCTATTAAGAAAAAAATATGTTTCTTTTTCTGACATTTGTATATATACATTTTGCTATTTTTGCTGTAACAAGGGAATGCATTTAGTGTGCAAAGGCACGCAGTGAAACATAGAACTATATAAAACTGTAGATTTGTTTGGAGACGTATATTCATTAAAAATATGCCTGTTGTGTCATGCTTTATTCCTTTAAAAATACTTTCATGAAAACAATGGGATATTATGTAGGTTAGTATAACACATGCAGGAGGACTTCTTAATTATGGTGCTCTTTAATATCTCATATCCCTGGTATTCATTTCATATTGACTGTATGCAATGACAACTGCTATCTCTTTCACAGAGATGGGTTTTGGAATGGGGGACAGAAGGGGCTCTTGTGTTTAAGAATGATGCAAAAAAGCATATAAACAGAAAAAGAACTGAGAATATAGGCAAGTATTAAAATGCATGCCTACATTTTGCAAAAATAGATATACCCCAGCTATATCTAGAACCTAAGGTAGTACCATTGCTATAATGTTACAGTGCAGTCAGATGGTCAGTTTACTGGGGCAGACTGCTCCAATAAGGCTATTTTTCTTTCAAGATCTGAACTAGCATCTGAATGTTATTTATGCAAGATACAAACATCCTAGAATTAACCTTTAAAGTTACTCTGTGTTTCAGTTTCATAGTAACCTTAAATCTGCATCCTACACTGCTCTATTAGGAAGCTAGTCCTTTTGAGATAAGCCTGGCAATACATGCTGATGGTCTATTTATGCATTTTATGTCTTGCAACCGTGTGTCTTAATGTTCCCATTATTTAAATATGCATTCACACAGGAAATTCTAGTATATTTAAATTGTCGTGCATTTATGCACAGGTTTCCCAGGCTTATGTATATGCATAGCTGCTTGTTCTTATGATGGCAGGTACTGGAGTATGTATGTTTTTATTTTGTTCACAACACTGACAACATGCTTGTACCCTCATGTTTCATGCTGAAAAAAATTCTTGTGTCTTCCACAGATGTCTCTCCCTCTAACTGCTCATCTGTTCTTAACTGTCTGCTATCACCATCTATACTACCATGTGGTTAGAGACACACTGGAAGAATATCCGCCAAGCCTTGTTGCTTCTTTTCACTGCTGGTCTTCTCACTGGGGTTACCATGCTGGCCATTTCATCTAACATCAATCCAGTAGGTTATTTCTTCCTAGGGGTAGGGGGAGTGTGCCTGGTCGGCTATTTGCTGAGTGTGTTTGTCGAGTGTTACCTGAAGAATCGGCACCGACACGATGCAAATGAGACACCTCCAAACAGACAAAGCCAGGCAGGGTAAGCACCAACCCAGCTACTCCTCTTACTTTAACTCTATTGTATGTAATTGCTGCCCTTCCCTTAGGTTATCAAACACAGACTCTGTCCCAGAAGAGAAAAGTTCTTTGTAAGTTGTTTCCCTATGTGTGTCTACGCCACACGTGCCCTGTATCTTATCCAATATTTATTTTCTTCCCTCCAGGAACTGGCCCACTAACAATTTCCAAGGTTAAGCAGTTCCAGGCACAGTTTTATTTTTCTTTGGGTAATTCAGTATTGCCAAACAATGAGTCAGACAAGGAAAAAGAAAAAAAATGCTGAAGCAATGCTGAATCTTAGCTGGGTTTAGTTCTATAAACCTTATCTCCAGAACAACAGCTTGTCAGTAAGCTTTTAAAAAGGAACTGGTAACTGGGTGTGTTTTCGGTCTTAAAAACCCAACTTGACACCAGTAAGCCCTGGATTTAGGAGACTCTGAATATTCCCACGTTTTTTTGCTTCAAGTCGCCCAACTTTTTTGCTGCATGTACACATGCAGTTTCTCAGCATCATCTAATTTAACCCTAATTTGCCTACCACAGATTAAGAGTTTAACCTTATTTGTATCTTTCCTTCTTTGTCTGTATAATTGAATAATCATTATCCACATCTATGAATGACTTGACATTCTCAAATATAGGGTTTGTAAGAGGGCAAAATGTGTTTTCTTTAAAGAAAGACTACATAAAATGAAGTTTTATTTGGCTTTTCTAGCTTGGGGACATACTAGAAGAAAATGAATATCTGTTTATTTTAGATATGACCCAAAAAGAAAAATGTTTCTAAAAGAACACTGTTCTCTGCAGATACTCTTTTTAACACAGACTAGTTAGTCCTTGTTTAACCTAAACAAAAATACATTATTCTCTGCACTTCTTAAAAATAAATGAACATTGAGCTAAAGTGTTAAAGAAGCAAGGTCCTGTTTTATTCCAATAAATAATTAGTAGTCAGTAATTTTTAGCAATTAACTTTAACTGGTAGGAGACTTAAAATGGGGGACACTGAACTCGACAGCATGGGTTTCTTCATTTGTTCTGAGGACTCTGGGAAAATGGTCAGATGAGTCATTCACTAGACCAGAAAGCAAGGCATTAAGTTGGCTGGACAGGAGAGCTGATCCAGTGGCAGAATATAACCTACAGTAATACCACACGTGATATCCTGTCTCAGGCCCCTCTGCTATTTGTACCATGGTCTCTATACTACATTATCCAAACTACCCGCCTCTGCATAAGTAAGCATTTTACTAAGCAGTAAAATAATGAGTGTAACTGACATTCCTCATTTTGTGCACAGGGTGAACACTGCCTATGAAGCACCCACCTATGAGGAGGTGATGACCATGTCAGTTCCAGCAATTTGGACAATTACATCCAACCCAGGTTTGGTGCCCTCACCATTGAATGAGCCTCCTCCATACAGTGTTGTTATTGAATCATCTGCCCAAGAAGAGATGATGGTGGAGGCCCTCAGCGAGCCAGTGGCATCAGAAACAAGGAACACCTCTGAGACAGCCACAGACTCCAGGATGCAGTTGCATCTGGTGCTGCCCCCAAGACTGCAGCGGTTTGTTTCAGATATCCATGAAGTGAAAGGTATTGAAGAGAGGTGTGATCCACTGGAGCCACTCACTCCACCACCTGGTTATGAGAGTGCCATCAACAATGAGGTCTTTGAAGATGCTTTCCAGCCCTCCATACTATGATTCATGTCACCTTCCACAAAAGCAAAATCAAACCCTCACCCTTAGGCAGGTTGTTCCTGCAGGGAAGATGAAAAAGCTGGGATTGTTCAAGTAAGAAACTGTATGAGTTGGCCTCACCATTCTTGGAACCAGAGCTGAACTCCAGACAAAGCTTCTGATCTCACTAGAATATTTTTTGCACAAAATACATATTAATGCAATGCCACAATGCTTTGTCTTGGAAGATATGTAAGACCACTGTAGGGAACATTGTATTATGTATTATGGCAACAGTTCTCAAACTGGAGATACATCTTTGTGGAGGAGGAGAGTGAACCATGAGAAGAGACCAGGTTGTCAAAGGATCTCTGAAGAAGGATGTAGGATGCAGCCAGGAGAAGCACTGCTGGAGGGTGTATTTCTCTGGTGTACCACAGCCCCAGACAGATGGCTTGTCATCATGACAAGTAATTGCACAGAAAGGTCAGTGCTCCTGCAGTTCTCTGTAACAAAACCATGCACAGAGATTTCTCTCTGGGCTCTGGAAAGGGTCAGTCTGTCAGCCAAGCCCAGGGCTGCAGCAGAGAGCACCTTAAGATAAAAGCCACGAGGTGGGCAGTCTTCATCAAGAACAGCTCTACGTTGGAGCCTGGTTCTAGATCTCACTGACTGGTGATGCTGGTGTCTGTTAAAATGGGTGAGTTCAATTGATGGGCTCTGCACAATGAAAGTGGTCTGTGGTATGGAGAGAGACATTCACATTCTGGTGAATATCTACATCAAAAAAAGAACATGATGGTCCAAATCTCCCATGCAGGATAACAGCAATCATCACAGCCTCATCTAGTGTGACAGTATGATTTTTAATTTATATGAGAAAACATCAAACCGTAGGCTAAAAGCAAGTAAATTATTTCTTATTGTTTGATTCCTTATATTTCAAGGGAAAAAAAAATACTTTTTATGTTGTTTGTAAATAAATGGGACTGCATTAAACCTACTGGCATCATTAGTTTTTCCTCCCAAAATAACCACTCCACAAGGCTGTGCTTTTTCATTCATTTTGCTTATTTGATATTGCCTCAGAAAAACAAGAGAAGCTTGACTTCCAAGTCTGTAACTGAGTCACTTTAATGTTATTAATGATGAAGCAGCTATGATACATCTATCATAAAAGTATTATGAGAGACAAATTTGCTGACAAAGGCAATGTGATGTTTTTAAAGCAAATCAATTCTTTTGTTTCCCTCCTGCAGTTGCAAACACAAAAGAACAAACCACAGCAAAAAGCTGAACAGGCATAACAGGCAAAAATAGAATCTTAGGTTCTAAACTGGGCAACCTTTCTAAATGCATTGCATGGTCAGAAGTCAGGAAGAAATTTGGGCTGCCAGTACAGGCAGAATGTAGCCGAAACGAAGGGGGGGAAAAAGTCACTAGTTATGCCTACTAAGATTTTTTTTTCTTCAGCATCTGCAGGCGTCACTCAAGCCTTTGGAGTTGTGCTGAGTTTTAGCATGTGGAACTCCTGTGCACCAAGGAATAGCTACAGGAAGCCTTACAGGACCACAATTGTAAAGCTGTGTCTGATCTAAGGATGCCCACTTGCCTTTCATAGTCACAGAATGGTTTGGGTGGGAAGGACCTTAAAGATCATCTAGATCCAATCCCCCTGCATCGGCAGGGACACCTCATACTAGATGAGGTTGTTCAAAGCCCCATCGAACCTGGCCTTGAACACTTCCAGGGATGGGGCATCCAGAACTTCCCTAGGCAACCTGTGCCAGTGTCTCACCACCCTCACACTAAAAAATTTCTAATGCTTAAACTGAATCTCCACTCTTCCAGTTTTGATCCCATATCCCTTGTCCTCGATATAAGCCCTTGTAAAAAGCCCCTCCCCAGCTTTCCTGTAGCCCCCTCAGGCACTGGAAGGCTGCTGTGAGGTCTCCCTGGAGCCTTCTCTTCTCCAGACTGAACAGCCCCAACTCTCTCAGCCTGTCTTCAGAGCAGAGGTGCTCCAGCCCTCTGATCATCTTTGTGGCCCTGCTCTGGACTTGCTCCAGGAGCTCCATGCTCTTCTTATGTTGAGGACTCCAGAATTGGACACAACACTCCAGGTGGGGTCTCCTGAGAGTGGAGGAGAAGGAGAGAACCACCTCCCTTGACCTGCTGGCCACGCTTTTTCCCCTTCGTTTTCCACCTGTAGTCTTGCATGATCCTCTCCTTCCCTTCTCACTCCTGAACGTTACTTGAACCTTTTTTATTATTATTTTTTAATTTCACTTGATTTCAGCTGAAACGCAGGTCAGCCAAGAGACACGAAAACAAAAAAACCCCTACAAATAAAACAAAACACCCCCCAAAAAAAGGC